AAAGGCACTCCCAATCAGTATGCATTAGGTTTGGCTCAATATCTACAGGATGTCAAACAAAATGTGTACAATAAACTTATGGTATCTCACAGTAGGGATAAAATCAGATACGATAAGAAACATAGAGATATCACATTGAAAGTTGGTTCTAAAGTATTGTTTTATAACCCTTTCATACTTCCCAACCATAGAAATAAATTGGCTAAGAAATGGGACGGAGTGTACATTATTGAAGAGCAGATCTCTCCCCTTCTGTACAGACTTAACTTCAAGGGTACGGCCTTTAAGAGTAATGTTGTGCACATCTCTCGACTCAAACCCTTTTATGACCGACAGATACTGTTAGCAGAGTTTGAGTCCAAAAATTATACATTCATTTCTAAATCAGTACTCAAACACAAAACATTGAATGAAAGTGAAAGTCAGTTATTGTATAAGAAAAGTGATTCAAATACTCGTTCAAATACCTGCACACCCGACCGATTGCCTATCCGTTCATCCGATCGACTCCCTGTCCGCACACCGGAGCCGAGCCCTGATCTGAGTCCTATCCGTGCACCTGACCCGACACCTACTCCAACACATTCATCTCAATCAACAGATATGTATGACATTAATGAATCTGATTCTGATATCTATTCAACTGATTCTGAAACAAGTACTGATTCTGACACAACCTCTGGAAGTGATTCAGAATCAGACAATAATGTTGTCAATAATGAGCCCAATTATCATGTAGAGCAAGGAATTCGCCGCTCATTAAGACCCAGATTAGCTCCCAATAGAATGAATCTATATATGTCTACTATTTTATGCATGTTTTCTATGATAACAATTGCCACTTCTTTGGCTACTGTTGAACCCGTTATCTGGAATAGACTCAATAATCCCGTAATTGAAGGCTTAGATACTGTTACCGCTGTTATTGATTATAAGAGTCCATGTTATTTGTTTGATGAGCTACTCATTGGTAAGGAATCGTCTCTTGAAATGAAACAATGGTGTGATTCTCTGTTTATTACAAACTTTAAAACACCTATTAATGAATTTTGTACTTCCGTTGGAGACCGAGATTCTGCTAAATTTGGTTTAATAAGAGAAAAACGTTTCATATTTACTGGTATTATTGCTGTAATTACTATTGTAAGCATTATTACAAGCATTGGTATTAGTGCTACAGCTCTGGTAAAAAGTAGTTCAAATGATAATCGTTTGAATGATTTTGAAACTCAATCCACAGAAATTATGAATAATTTACGTGAATTGAAATTCAATGACAGAAACCAGAATCAAGTTTTGTATGAATTCAGTGTACTATTGAAAAATGTTTCTGATGAATTATTTCTCATAAGAAATGATCTAAATTTTGTTAAAAATTCTGCTCCAAAAGCAATCCGATTGATATCTCTTTTAACAACAAAGTTATATCACATTAAAAATGATTTGTCAGACATTTCATATGATTTTAAGAATGGGAGACTAAACCCAAAATTGCTTAAAATATTCAACTATACTAATCCTTGTGGACTGCGATGTCCATCAGATTACTGGACTGCATTAAGTTGTAAACATGACGAGATTAGACATATGATTGTCATTAAGTATAGCATGAAAATTGTTAAACTCGACATGCATGCAATGAAATCTGATTCGTTTAATTTGGTTAAAATTAAACGTGAAAACAATACTAATTACTTATGTAATAGTCGTTTCACTGGTCCTGAAATTGTTTTATTTGATGCTAAAAATCATTGCATTAAACCTCTTAAGCATATGTCCAAAGAATCCGCAAACATTGTATTGATTGAAAATGACTACAATTGTACCCAAAATCATGTAATGATTAGTACCGGAAATTACTTTGAAATGGATAAATGTGTCCAAAAGGATCACATTTCATATTCAGATGTTGTACAAGTTAAGCAAGCACAATTGTATAACTATATTTACTGTAATGGTTTTAACATAACTATTTATGGTAATAATATAAGTTGTGGTCCCGAAGTGTTTGTCTTGCCTTCTAATCAAAGTTTCAATATTGGAAACATTACTTACAAAACAAATGCACTTAATTTACACTCTGAATTGAATTTTGTACCAAGTTGGAGTTATGCAATTAATCACATACTAAATCCTAAAATGCGAGAAAATGTTTTGGAAAACTACTTTAATGTGATTAATAATCAAATCAATTCAATGGATTCCGGACTTTTCAATGATGTGCATGAAATTCAACTAAATTATCACAGATATGGAAATATTCTACTTATTCTATTGCTATTATCACTATTGATACTATTTGCATGTTTTTATTTTAAACAACATTTTAATTGCATTAAATCAATGATGTGCATGAAATTCAACTAAATTATCACAGATATGGAAATATTCTACTTATTCTATTGCTATTATCACTATTGATACTATTTGCATGTTTTTATTTTAAACAACATTTTAATTGCATTAAGACTACGGAAACTAATACACAAATGCATGAAATGATTTCCATTCATTCCGAGCCTTTAATGCAAAATGTCTCACAAACTAATGCGAAAACTGTTGCCATGAATGACAAGAATTCTGGAAGAATCGTCATTTCAATGAATGACAATTAATCAATATTTTAAACATTTTATTTTAATTATAAATGAATTTAAATAATATTCAATTTTACTTAATTTTTATGATTAATCGATATTTTATTTTGCATTTATTATACATTTATGTGAGTTATGGAGCGAAAAGGGTATTCAAAGCCAAGACATCACAAACACAACAATTATGTTAACAGAAACAGCAGTAAAATTGATTCAATTTTACGCATAACTAATGCACTGAACAGAGATGTAGACAAAATGCTTGGCAAACAAAACAACACAACAGACACACAGACCATAGGATTGACAGACAAATTGGATTTGATTTCAAACACATTGTTAGAGATTAGGGATAAGTTGGAGACCGTTGGCAAAGACAAGGCAAATACCACTCAACCTACACCTCAGATGCAGTACATGGAGTTACCGTATCCGCCGCCCAACGCCTACCCATCCATTCCCATCCGCTACTCATACCCGACACCCAACTCACGATTCTTATACTAATTATGATTTAATTACAATTATTTTACACCAATTTTGATAAGCATTATATAATCACTTTTGATATTTGAATTTTGAAACTAATTTGATAACTATTTTATAATCATTTTAATATTTTGATGTTTTAAAACTATTTTGATAAGTTCTATTTTAAGTATTGATTTAATGATTATTTGATTTGATTTTAAATTTTGATTTTTATACTTAACCATAATTTGATTTTATTATTTTGATATTCATTTAAAGTGAAAAATAAATTAAAATCTATTGATTTTAAATTATTTTGTTGGAGTGAGAGAAGAGTGTCAGAACATGAAATATATTTTAGTTTACATTTCATTTCAAACAACTTTTAGTTAAACAGTTTATGGCTTCACTATTGTTGAGCCCATACATAGGGTTAGGACTGATTGTCGCCCAGAATCAAAGGATAGCCACCCTTTTATGACCACCTCTTAGGTTAGGTTTGAGACCCAGAACTCTGGTATCACTGCTCAGACCACTCACTCTCTCCCTCTCCACTCACGGCACAAGTTGTGCAAAAACTCTGTATTTTCACCACAAGTTTTGTCTCTAATATTTTATAGGTTAGGTTTGAGACCCAGAACTCTGGTATCACTGCTCAGACCACTCACTCTCTCCCTCTCCACTCACGGCACAAGTTGTGCAAAAACTCTGTATTTTCACCACAAGTTTTGTCTCTAATATTTTTGAATAAAATAAGTTTTGATTTAAAGTAAAGTTTTGTTTTAATTAATAAATACTATTTCACAATAATAGAAAAGAACCCTGATACCCATAATTATCAGCCCTCACCACTCGCCGCATGACAAATGTGCTAAAAATTATTAGTAAAATGAAAAAATTGACTTTCATTATATATTCAATCCTTAAATACCGACCAGTTTTAAACATTAACTCTCTGTCTCTCTCTCTCTCTCTCCATTCATTTTACCTAAATTTAAAACATTTTTAATTTTAAACGAAATATTAAAAATATAGATCAATTGTCATGTTTATGATATATTAAAGTAATATAAATACCATGATTTTATCACAATCTATTTATGCATTTAAATTGTCTTATAAATGTTGCATCAGTTCTCTTGCAATAAAAAAGCTAAAGCATTATTATGCAACAGGATAATATAAACCGATATTATACCTAGAAACAAATCTGCACCATGTTCCAAATAATTTTTGCTAATAATACAGAATTTTTACTAGTAATCATTTACAGCATTTATCAAATAAGGTCAGGCATAAAAAATTTTCAATCTAAAAGTAAATCAAATAGAAATTACAATAACAATTCCACAAATCCTCTACTTTCAATGTTACCATGCTTTAAAACTACCATCATATCTGGTTAGTTTTAGTATTTTTTAATAAAAAAAAATCTGGAACTAATTACATCTGGAACCATTTATAATATTTACTACTTCATGGAGATTAGGAAGTTAATCAAATAAATGATACTAACAAGGAGGGCGTAGATATATTAATTCCGTTATAAATTTAATATTAAAGCATTTTGTATTTTAAATTCTCATGTGATAAGTGATAAGTTCTCATAAAATGATGAACAGTTCCATCACATGCTTTGTTTATACCATCAAAACAATGTTACGAATACTTTTGAGAAGCGAGTCTGAGGTAAAGGAATCTTAAATAGAAACCCCGTTTGAATTAATCGCATTAAACTTTGCATTATTAATACCACTTAACAACATGTGACAGATTACCCATCATTTCGTATTACATATACTCTACTGTACTGTAGATAAATTGTACAGATTTTGTTGGACTATAAATTCAACTGATTTTAATATATCTGTTTCATTGAATCAGTCGTTAGTTACAAGTACTGTACAATTACTGTATAATTTTGTGGCAAAAATGAATAGTATTTTAAGCATATGTTTGATTTTGTCAGTCAATTTAATTGCCACCAATGCATCCAAACGGTGGCCAAATCACGACATATCGACACTAAAACTCTTGCAGTTAGTCCACAGACACGCAGAGCGACCGCCGCTATATTTCCCGCCTAACGATCCCTACAAAGACAGCAAGTATTGGCACGAAGGGGGCGGAGAACTGGCCCTCAAAGGCAAGTATCGTATGTATAAATTGGGAGAATTCATACGACAAGAGTATAACGACTATTTNCAGCAAGTATTGGCACGAAGGGGGCGGAGAACTGGCCCTCAAAGGCAAGTATCGTATGTATAAATTGGGAGAATTCATACGACAAGAGTATAACGACTATTTGGGCGATAAATACTCGCCCCGAGAGGTGTTTGACAGAAGTTCGGTCACCGATCGGTGCATTGAAAGCACATCCAGTCTATTGGCCGGCGCTTATCCGCCCAAAACTCAGGACTGGATTTGGGATATCGGAGGGGACGCTAAGTTGGCTCATTCCTGGCAACCCATCCCTATATCACCGATCGGTGCATTGAAAGCACATCCAGTCTATTGGCCGGCGCTTATCCGCCCAAAACTCAGGACTGGATTTGGGATATCGGAGGGGACGCTAAGTTGGCTCATTCCTGGCAACCCATCCCTATTCAGACTTTTATTCCACATGAAAACGATCTGGTTTGCAATGAGGTAAACATTTAATTGTATTACTTTATGTGATGGCACTTACAATTAATAACCAATAGGACAAACACTGTCCGCTTGTGGACCGGGAGAGGGCGAAGATATTTGAAAGACCGGAACTCAAAAACTTTACTGAAAGTCAGAAAGAGGTGTATAAGAAGGCTTCGGAGGCGAGCGGACAGTCCATAAAATCCATTCAGAGTGCATCTGATTTATGGGATGTCCTACAGATTGAATTCGCCCGCAATTACTTCTGGAATAAGACGTGGACTCAGGAGGAAGAGAAGAAAATGATCGACGACTTGTATTTATCGCGAGAAATGCAATTCCGATACAATTGGGACAGTCCTGCCATTAGACGGCTGAGAGGCGGCGGTTTGGCCTCACAGTTGATCCACAATAACAGAGAAGAGGTGGCAAATCAAAACAATCGGAAACTATACGTGTACTCAACGCACGACACAACTGTTGCCGCAGTAATCAATGCACTCAATCTGTCCAATCGAGATATGCCGCCATTCGGTGCGACCCTTCTCTTTGAATTACACCAAAACAGTAAAACCAATGAATATTTTGTGAGAACTTTCTATCAAAACGAGACCACAATTAATGAAGGGATTCCTCACGCCCTCAGTTGGGGTGACTGCCAGTCGCTAACCGACTGCCCATTTGATAAATACATTGAATCCACGAAACACTTGTTGTACACAGATTTTGATAAGGAATGTAATGCTTTATAATAATTATTGATATTATATGATAATTAATGCACTATTAGTTTAATTTCAAATTAATAAAATACCATTTTAGACAAATATTATATTGTATGTGAATTTGATTAATAACAAAAAAACACTTTTAATTTATATAGAAACATAAATAAAATGGTTAATATTTGCCTTAAAAGTAAATTATTTTTAAAAGTTCTCTACATTAAATTATTAACATATAAATTAATTCATATCTGGTCTTATTATATTTACAATTTATAATATCTACCAATTCATAAAGATTAGAAAGTTAATCCAGTGATAATAAAATAGGAAATACATTTTATATTAATTCCGTTAAACAGTTAACGTTAAAGAATTTTATATTTTAAATTCTACTTTTATTTGTAACAAGAATAGTTACAAATACTATTAATGTTATATTATATAATTTATATATCATTCTTTGTTTACACCATTGATATTAAGTTATGAATGAGAAGTTATAAAGAAGGCTGTATAGGAAGTTTTAAAAATACCCTCGTTTAAATTAATTTAATTACACTTTGTATTATTAACAACATGTGGTAAATTACACATAATTTTATATCTACACAATGATATATCATGTAGATAAAATGTAAAAAATTTGTTATACTATAAATTCGACTAATTTTAATACATTTGTTTCATTGAATTAGTCGTAAAGTTAAAAATAAATATTTGCAACAAAAAATGAATATTATTTTAAGCATATGTTTGATTTTGTCGGTCAATTTGTTTGCCGCCAATGCATCCAAACGGTGGCCAAATCATGACATATCGACACTAAAACTCTTGCAGTTAGTGCACAGACACGCAGAGCGACCGCCGCTTAACTTCCCGCCTAACGATCCCTACAAAGACAGCAAGTATTGGCACGAAGGGGGCGGAGAACTGGCCCTCAAAGGCAAGTATCGTATGTATAAATTGGGAGAATTCATACGACAAG